CCATCATCAGCATCATCATCAACATCAGCATCATCATCATCATCATCATCATCATCATCATCATCATCATCATCATCATCATCATCATCATCATCATCATCATCATCATCATCATCATCATCATCATCATCATCATCATCATCATCATCAGCCAGCAGCAGCAGCATCAGCATCATCATCATCATCATCATCATCAGCATCATCATCATCAGCATCATCATCATCGTCATCATCAGCATAATCATCATCAGCATCATCATCACCATCAACATCATCAACATCAGCATCAACAGCAGCATCAGCATCAGCATCAGCATCAGCATCAGCATCAGCATCAGCATCATCATCATCATCATCATCATCAGCATCATCATCATCATCATCATCATCAGCATCAGCAGCAGCATCATCATCGTTATCAGTGTCCTCATCATCATCAACAGCAGAGCCATCATCATCATCATCATCAGCAGCAGCACCACCATCAGCATCAGCATCAGCATCAACATCAGCATCAGCATCATTATCAGCAGCATCATCATCATCATCATCATCATCATCATCATCATCATCATCATCATCAGCATCATCATCATCATCATCATCATCATCAGTATCATCATCAGCATCATCATGATCCTCATCAGCATCAGCATCACCATCATCATCATCAGCATCATCATCATCATCATCAGCAGTAGCATCAGCATAAGCAACAGCAGACGCATCAGCATCATCATTATCAGCAGCATTAGCATCATCATCAGCAGCATCATCATCAGCAGGATCATCACCATCAACACCATCAACATCATCAAAATAAGCATCCACATCAGCATCATCATCGTCAGCAGCATCATCATCATCAGCAGCATCATCATCATGGGCATCAGCATCATCATCAGCATCATCATGCGCAGCATCATCAGCATCATCATCATCATCATCGTCATCATCATCATCATCATCATCATCATCATCGTCAGAACCAGCACCAGCGTCAACATCATCATTATCAGCATCATCATCAGCATCAGCGTCATCATCATCATCATCAGCAGCATGAGCATCAGCATCATCATCAACAACAATTGCAGCATCGGTATCAGAGTTATCAGCAGCACCACCATCATCAACATCACCATCATCATCAAGCACCTCCGTCATCCTCCTCCTCCGCCTCCTCCTCCTCCGCTTCCTCCTCCTCCTCCTCCTCCACCACCTCCCCCCCCCACCCCCCCCCCTGCTCCTCCTACCCCGCCTCCTCCTCCTCCCCCTACTCCTCATCCTTCTACTCCTCTACCCCTCCCCGATCTCCTCCACCTCAGTATCCTGCTTGTCACTGTCATCAGCATCATCATCATCATCATCATCATCATCATCATCATCATCATCATCATCATCATCATCATCATCATCATCAGCATCAGCATCAGCATCAGCATCATCATCATCATCATCCTACTCCTCCTCCTCCTCCTCCGCGTCATCATCATCATCATCATCATCATCATCATCAGCATCAGCATCAGCATCAGCATCAGCATCATCAGCATAATCAGCATCATCATCATCAGCATCATCATCATTATCAGCAATCATCATCATCATCACCATCACCATCACCATCATCATCATCATCACCATCATCATCATCAACATCATCATCATCATCATCATGATCCTCAGCAACAGCATCAGCATCATCATCGTCAGCATCAACAGCATCACTATCATCATCATCATCATCATCATCAGCCTAATCATCGTCGTCATCAGCATCATCATCATCATCATCATCATCATCATCACCAGCATCAGCATCATCATCATCAGCATCATCATCAGCATCAGCATCATCATTATCAGCAGCAGCGGCATCAGCATCAGCATCAGCATACTCATCATCATCATCATCATCATCATCATGATCATCGCATCATTACCATCATCAGCATCAACAGCATCATCAGCATCATCAGCAGCATCATCAGCGGCATCATCAGCAGCATCATCATCATCATCATCCTCATCATCATCATCATCATCATCATCATCATCATCGCATCATTACCATCATCAGCATCAACAGCATCATCAGCATCATCAGCAGCATCAGCAGCATCAGCATCAGCATCTGCATCAGCATCATCATCATGGGCATCATCATCATCAGCAGCACCATCAGCATCAGCAGGGTCATCATCATCAACATCATCAACATCATCATCCAAATCAGCATCAGCCTCATCATCATCATCAGCAGCATCATCAGCATCATTAACATCAACAGTATCCTCATCACCATCATCATCAGCATCATCATCATCATCATCATCATCATCGTCATGAGGATCATCATCATCATCATCATCATCATCATCATCGTCGTCGTCGTCGTCGTCGCCGTCGCCGTCAGCATCATCATCATCATCATCATCATCATCATCATCATCATCATCATCACCATTATCATCATCGTCATCATCAATATCATCAGCATCATCAACATCAGCATCACCATCATCATCGGCAGCTGCAGCATCATCACCAGCATCATCATCATCATCATCCCCATCGTCATCATCATACCAATAATTAGCATCCTTGTAATCGTCGTCATCATCATCATCACCATCATCTTCGTCGGCCTTTCCATCCTCGTCAGCAACAAACAACTCATAAGCATAAGAATCCGTGTCCCTGTCCACACCCTCATCATCAGCATGAGCAGCAGCAGTATCGACAGCAGCATCAATCTCATCAACACCACCAGCATCGCCAACATCGCCATCGTCATCATCACCATCATCATCATCACCATCAGAATCATCACAATCAGCATCCTGATCGTCATCGTCATCACCATGAGCATCGGCAACACCATCACCGTCAGCGGCAGCATCGGCATCATCATCACCACCATGAGCATCAACATCACCATCATCATCATCATCATCATCATCATCATCATCATCATCAGCATCATCCTCATCCTCGTCAGAATCATCAGCATTAGCATCAGCATCAGCATCATCATCAGCATCAACATCATCACCATCATCATCACCATCATCATCATCGCCACCACCACCAACACCGTAGTTGTCGGAATCTGCTTCATCATCATCATCATCATCATCATATCAACTATCACTACTTCCACTAAACACAACCACTATCAGCATCATCATCATCATCAGCATCATCAGCATCATCATCATCAGAATCAGCATCACCATCAGCATGAGCATCAGCATCGGCATCATCATCATAAACATCAATCTCCTTATCAGCGTCATCACCATCAGCATGAGGAGCATCAGGACCAGCATCACCATCATCATCATCGTAACCAACATCGTCATCATCATCATCAACATCATCATCACCACCATCGTCACCATCACCATCACCATCATCATCACCATCACCATCACCATCACCATCACCACCAGCATCACCATCACCATCATCATCATCATCATCATCATCATCATCGTCCTCATCATCATCATCATCATCATCCTCATCACCATCACCATCACCATCACCATCATCATCACCATCACCATCACCATCACCATCACCATCGCCATCACCATCATCATCACCATCATCATCATCATCATCATCATCATCATCATCATCATCCAGCACCATCATCATCATCATCATCATCATCATCATCATCATCATCATCATCATCATCATCATCATCATCACCATCACCAATCACCATCACCATCACCATCAACCATCACCATCACCATCATCATCATCATCATCATCATCATCATCATCATCATCATCATCATCATCATCATCATCATCATCATCATCATCATCATCATCATCATCATCGTCCGTGCCCACGCCCCCCTCCGCAGCGCCTGCCCGGCGCGGAGGATGTCGAGCCCGCCGAGGCCATCGGGGCCATCGGCGGCGGGCGGCGCCTCGGCGGGCGCCGGCCAGGGGAGGAGGGGAGGGTCGAGGGTCGACGAGGGTCGACGAGGGTCGAGGAGGGTCGGGGAGGGTCGGGGAGGGTCGGGGAGGGTCGAGGAGGGTCGGGGAGAGTCGGGGAGGGGAGGGGCGAGGAGGGTCGGGGAGGGTCGAGGAGGGTCAGGGAGGGGAGAGGCGAGGGGGGTCGAGGAGGGTCGGGGAGAGTCGGGGAGGGTCGGGGAGGGTCGAGGAGGGGAGGGTCGAGGAGGGTCGAGGGTCAAGGAGGGTCGGGGAGGAGGAAGGAGGCGGATCAGGGTCGACGGGGGGAGGGTCGATGGAGGCGGGGGGGCAGGAAGGAGGAGGGTCGAGGCACAAGAGAGCACCAAGACGGACGAGGCCAAGATGGCCCCAAAGAGAAGTCGATGTCCTGAAAATGGCGGGCTTCCCACCTGATGGGAAGGGGGCTCCACGATGCAGCACCTGGCCTGGCCACGGAGGGATCAAAATGGTCGAGGGAGGGCCGAGGAGGGTCGAGGAGGAGGTCGCTACCCCCTCCCCCCCCTCTCATCCCCCTCCCGCCACCATCCCTCTCCTACCGACAACTCCCATCACCACTGGTCCCCATACTCCCCCTGCAACGGATACCATCGCTCGCATCCCCTCCCTCCCTCCCTCGGCCCCAGCACCCATCGGAGCGGCGCAAGACACGACAACTGCCCCCCGCAGGCAAACTAGCAATACCGAGCACAAACTACTGACCTCGACCACGTTTGTGGCTTTTGACCCGGAACGCCCGGTCTGTGGTTGGTGCGCGATACGACCATGGCTGCCAGAAAAGAAAAGAGCTGACGGAAGTGCTCCGATCTCGCTCTAGTCGAAAAAGTTGAAACAAGAGGGCTACAGGAAGCGAAACTCTCACCGTCTGGCCGAGCACCTCGTCGTCTGACAAACGCGAGCGGGAAGCGCAACTATAGAAAACTCGCGCGCATGCCCGACACGAGCGTGCGCAAGCCAAAACTGCCGCACGAGTTTTGATCTCCATCTAGACTCATCATCCT